AACATTTACATTAGTATTAGCCACACAAAGAAGTTGTTTTCTCCCAAGACAATCAGCAACATGGTTGCTAAATTTGTCTTCAAGTACTGCTATCAAAGCACTATTATCTTTGATTAATCGACTCAAAGCAACTTTCTTCTGGTTAGTAGGAATAACAGCATCAGCCAGATATTGTGCAGCTTTATTAAATTCAACCTTATATTTCTTGACATGAGAAATCCTATCTCTTTGAAAATCGTCATCCACAGTGATTGTCTCCAAGGATTTTGTGTCGGAATGTAAGAAGGTACCAAGATGGTTGTCGTGGTCAAGTTTGGTCATATAAATTCCATTTTCAATGAGGGAGAGAGCATTTGTTACCTTATCATGAATGATATTCATGAATAACTCCAGTTGGGCATCCTTCTTTCTCTCGTTGCAATCATATGTGGGCTAATCAAAGTCAAGAATTATGTCAAACATGTCGTCATTATACACGTCATAAACGGGTTCATCAAAGATATGCAAAGAAGACAATTTTGATAGTGGATCTTCAAATTCTTCGAAGTTGAACTCGATCGAGGGTGGGATGGAAGAGATCTGATCATCTACAATGCCCTTGTCATTGTCGTCGGTTCGTAAGGATTTAGTTGGAATGAATGATCTTGAATCCGTCATGGAAGCATAATTGTCCCGCGATTGGAAACTATATGTCGCTGGAAAAGAATTGGTTCGACGATAGTAATAATTGATGTGATGTGAAATCCAATGGTATTAATGACCGAAGGAGGCAATGGGTGATCGATGTGAGTTCCACGAAGCCAAAGAGTTCTTTCTCTTTGACCACTGAACAAAGTTCCAAAAACAAAAGGATGTTCTTGACGTGAAAACAGAACAATTTTTTTTTTTTTTTGAAAGAATCATCCACGAATTAAGATACCTATTGGAAAACAATTAAAATCAATGGGAAGATCTGGAACGTCAAGTTTGGGCGACTGGAACTTGCCCAAAAGCAGGCCGAGATCTTGTTTAATCAAAAACTAGCTTTGCTATGTTGGCCCGCCAACAACTTACCGGAGAACGTCCCTAGTGTGAGGTCGCCAGCGAGAAAGAGGCTGAGATACCGAGAAAGAGACAGAGATGAGGCCCGAGACCGAATCCTCGATGAAATTTGGCTGTGTCAAAAGATGATTTCACCTTTCTTGGATGGATTTGAAAATCGGACAGCAGTAAGAATTTAGTTTCTAATTGCTTTCTTGAGGTCCGCACCCAAGAACAAATAAAAGGTGGACGTCAGCGCTGCGGAGGAAGAACTGTAGCCACCGCTTGGGTTTCGCCACCAACACCAAATGAAGTCAATTCGTCACCGAATCGGTTCCGCTTTCGAGGCCGATTCGCCACCAAAGATGGGTTGCCACCAAATGACGCCAGTGGCAGAGGCAACACGGCTATGGACAAGAATGCGAGCAACTTGCCAGATCTGATACCAAATGACACCGGACCGAAGGGGGCTCGACGAATCCACATCTACTATCCGGTGGCGGTCGCCAGACACCACTCGAAGAACTCCTTGGAGCAAGAACAACCACCTAAGAACAACTCTTAGGATACAGAAAAGGAACAAACTAAACTCAAATTTTATTCATATCTCAATAGCTGTCATTACAAGCAATTGCTACAAGTATTTATAGACTATTAGGCCTCATAAAAGGCTACATGCCTTAAAAGAAAGTACTACTCCTAAACAACCATATATCTACCAATTGAAATTAAAACTAGCCTGAAGTTAAATAGGATTGATCAGCTCAGCTCCGGCGTCACTGAGTTCTGGATTGGGTTTCCGCATTTTTTTTCGGTGAAACTTTGAGCATATTCACTCATAAATGCACACACATATGCAAGACTTATAACTAAGACCTATTCGTTCAAAGCTTAAATTTTAAACCAATAGAACAAAAAACGATTGATTGCCTTGAAGGTTTTTTGTCGCTAGGCCCACTATGGTTTCGTTTGGCATTTGAAGCACTCACTGTTGTTTCTTAAATTTATTTGCTTATCAATTAAAAAAGATGGAAGAGAGAGAGAGAGAGAGAGAGAGAGAGAGAGAGAGGAAAATTACTAGATATACCGAACAAGAAGCATTAACAAGCGAATAGTTGCATTTGGATTCCTATCGCAGCATCTTCCAATTAATTGTTGCAACACTGTGTCTTTTAGAAGTTTAACAATTCCTTAGTGCATGATGTAACATTCAACAGGTGATAGGTAAGGAAATGAACAAAATTAATAACAAATAAGACAGCATCTAGCGCCAGCAGCAGCAAACTTGCAGTACACAATAAGTGAAAATTTCAGGGGCAATCAACAGAAAGATTTTAAGCTTACAGAAAAGCTTCCAAACTCGTCATCCTCCGATGATTCCCAATCCTTGAAGACCTCTCGAAACGTTTTCCCGCATCAATCCATTGTGAAACCATAATTACTACGAAAACCAGAAAGAAAACAGTCCGTTATTGACGTTGCATCACTTCCTCTGCTCCTCTTTCTTCTCTTTTTCATAAACCTCATAAGATGCAGAAAAATTGTTTTTCTTCTTACTTCTCAGTCTCTAATAATCTTCCCTGCTCGCCTCCATCAAATTGGTATCAAAATCATGGGCTTGGGCAAAAGCTTCCTGTGTGAAGCTCAGCGGAGTTTGGTCTAAGTATTGATCCGACATAAGAAAGTTTCCACCTGTTCTGCCAGACATGTTTTCGAGGGCCTGGTCTGGCCGAAAAGAATTGGATGGCGAAGGAAGAGAAGAAGAAAGGGTGGAAATAACCTTAGCTGACTTCCCACGACGGGTCTTTCGGCAGCCACCACCAACGGGAATGCTGCGGAGAGAGCCTCCTTTGGTCCAATAGCGGCGACAGCCTTTACATAAGTAGCGGGGTTGAGCGAGGCAATAGTTGTTGTAATAACAGAACTTGGTGTTTGGTGAATCGCAGCGGGGGCAATTGGGCGCGACTTCTTCGACTTTGGGGCGCCATCGGCGGTCTGTAGTGGGAAGTGGATGGAAGGAGTAGATAGGGAACATTGGGAAGTTTAGGAGAGCATTCTTTGGTGGGGAGATGGATGGGGAGATCAAGAGAGAGACTTTACCAAGAGGGAGAGAAAGGCAGTTTAGTGAGAGCGTGCATGCATGTGCTTGTAGGACAAATTTCTTAATAGGGAATTGAGAAATGGTAATTTGGCTTCATAGTTTTTTTTTTTCCTTTTTCATTAAGATTTTATTTGGGGAACTCAAAAAGAAAGGTGGGTGGTTCCCTACTTCACATTAGTAAGCTTGGGAAACTCAATAATCTCATTTTCAAGAGTTTTTGATCTAGCTTCGGTGGGTCATTTATTCAGGTGGTATAATCAGAGATCTGATAATCCTATTCATATAAAGTTGGATAGAGTGCTTGTTAATGGAACCTGGCTGAATGATTTTCACAACTCTTTTTATATTGTCACTAATCGTGACATCTCAGATCACTCTCCCATCATTCTTCAAGATGGCTACAACTTCTAGAAAAATCATAGATTCATGTTTAAAAATTATTGCCCCAAAATTCCTGAATTTTGGGATGGTGTTATGGAAGTTTTCTCTCAACCTATCGCTGTAAGTCCTATTTGTGAACTATATCTCAAACTCAAGGCTTTCAAAAATTACCTAAAGACGGAATTGGAGCTCCTCAAATAACCTGAAAATTGAAATTGACCATCTATTTGTTAATCAAAATGTCTATGTTACCCAAATTTAGGATAACCCGTTAAATCCTGAACTTAATGTTGGCCTCAAGGAGACCAACATGAAACTTTATGAAGCCCATATTTGTTGGTTTGATTGGATCATGCAAAGAGGAAAGGCAAAATGGCTGACATATGGCGATGATGATCCCTTAATTTCCTCTACTCTAAAATCAATCATAGAGGCAATACCCACTACAGGAAAATCACTCATTTCCGGCGGAATTTTTCTGCGGTTAATTTTTGCAGCGGCTATCTAGCGGTTATCTGATGGAAAATAATGAGACAAATTTTCCGATGAAATTTTTTGGCTGTTTCTTTCCCATGAAATTT